TCGGTAATTCAATGTGTAAATAAGGGTCAAATAACTAGTATGAAAAACGTCAGTTAGCAATTTGTTTAATGATAGAGAAAGGATTGTATTTGTTGGCAAGGTCGTTATATCGAACATACGAGAGGATGACTTTAAACAAGACTGTTGACATTCTTGTGCATCAATTTGTTTGTCTGCCACGTACCTCGTTTTAGAATTTTGTCCATACGTATAGCATGCTCTTGTGTATCGAATCAACTGAGAGATATAAACCCCGTATGCGCGTGTTAAAGATATATTTCTGCATAAGTAAGGGAAGTTGATGATTAAAAAGTTAAAGGCATCACGTTTATTATAACGCGTTCTAGTTAGATAACAATTAACTTCTTTTTCTAGTAAAATATCCAAATATGAAACAGATCTAGTGTGAGACTCTGAGGTATTTTTTATTTCAAGCTCACCGGGATATATCGTATCGTTATAAGAATGGAAATAGCCATTGTTAATTGACAATACGTATTCAATATATCAAAATGTCGAGTTATTAACATGATATGCAACAGATTTTTACTTCTTTTCACGTATAAGGCTTTTGAACAAATTCTGCTGTACATTAACTGATCATAAACTGATTTTACAAAGTAAACACTAACATAAATCTAACGATACATATAAAGTCATAATTGTGTACATGTATACATGCACTAACTTGAATTATAATTATCAATCATTTTCGAAACAAAGAGCCTAAACTGTGTACGCTGTATACCTATGCCATCAATCGTTCTTTAACACATCAACCTGTATATATATATAAGCTATTTATGCAACGCATAGCCCTTTGGGAATTCATTATTTCTAGATTATATACAGTAGGAATCTTGATTTGGATAATTAAGAATCTACACTACTCCAGGATGCTTCCATATAAGTTTCAGTTTTTCTGGCCCAGTGGTTCTTGAAAAGAAGATTTTTAATTCCTATATATTTAAATGCAAAACTTGGATTCTTTATTGCAGCCCTGCAATATATTCCCGGGGTCATGAACAATTTAAAATCTTCACTACGATAAGAATCAGCTTTTCTGGTCCAGTGATTCTTGAGAAGAATATTTTTTAAGGATTTTTCCTATATATTTCAATGTCAAAATGGATTTCTCTATTGCGGCCCCGCTCAACCCCCAGGGTCATGGTTTGAACAATTTAGAATCTATACTACCCAAGAATGCTTCCACATAAGTTTCAGCTTTTCTGGCCGAGTGGTAATTGAGAAGATTATTTTTCCTATATATTTCAATGTCAAACTTGATTTCTTATTGCAGCCCCGCCCTATTCCCAGGGGTCATGATTTGAACAATTTAAATCTACATCACCCCAGGATGCTTCCACATAAGTTTCAAGTTCTCTGGCCCAATGCTTCATCAGAACAGGATTTTTAAAGATTTTTCCAAGATAAAATTCAATGTAAACTTGGTTTCTCTATTGCTGCCGAACGCAGAACACAGAGGCTTGTCACAATCTATTTTTCCCTACCTTTTAACCACAATGGGGATGGTCAAAAGTAAGAACACAAAAGGATTAAAGGAATATGACGAGAACACGTGCTCAGAACCGAAATATTGGTTTAACAATTTCTAAAGGGGTTATTGCAAAAACACAAATCCCCTGGATCGCCTCGATCAAATGGTCACACCCACCATGAAACCTTATGGGTTAAGTAAACGGGGATTTGTAGTCATGATGGTATGAAAACAATGACATGAAGGATATGGAGATAACGAACAGTATTCAAGATCAAAGTCCATAAAACAATACAAAATAGGAGCAGAGCAAACACGGACTTCCGAAACATCAGAGGTGCGATCAGGTACCATGGAGGAGTGAACATCCCCTGCCGACCGGTCACACCCGCCGTGTGCTCCTTGTCATGATGGGGAAATAACGGAAAAATCCGTCGTCAATTCAGTGTTTAAATAATGGACTAACAATTAGTATGAAAAACGTCAGCCTGCATTTGACTCAATGATAAATTGTATTAATTTTGTTGACAAGATCATGGTATGGACCATAGAACTTACGAAATGATGACTTTAAACGAGACTGCTGATCGTCTTGTTTCATCGACTTGATTGTCCATAATTTACCTCGTTTTAGAAATCGTTCATACGTAGAGCATATCTAACGTATCGAATCAACTGAGATATGTAAACTCCGTATGCAGGTGATGAAGGTATATTGCTGCATAGGTAAGGGATGTTGACGATAGAAAAGTTAAAGTCATCAAGTTTATCATAGGGCTTGGTTTTTAAATTACCATTAGTATCTTTTTGAAGTAAAATATCCAAGTATGAAACAGATGTGTCAGACTCTGTGGTATCTTTTATCTCAAGCTCACCAGGATATATCGTATCAACACAGGAATGGAAATTACCACTGTTAACCCTTATCCTGCCAATCGCGACCTAGAGTCGTGATGGCTTATCAGTACCGCTGCTGCCAATCGCGACCTCAGGTCGTTTTGGGGGGTTTCCTCATATGATTCTACATTCCAAGCTATTTTCAGCACTCAAAGTAACAAAAATACAGACCAATGAAAATAGTTTTATAAAAATACTGAACCAATCAGTGATGGTAGGTGTGAAATCTGGGGCAAAATGAGGAAAGTATCAAAACAAAGAGAGTTTCTCAAATGGCTAACAGAAATCTGCGTGGCTTAAATTCAGATGAAGTATTAGATAGAATTTTATATGACAGTTTTGGATGAAGAATCTCTTAATGAGGAGAATATTGATGCTGAGGTTTAACATACACACTGAGTAAATATTAATTATAGCTTTATTTATTAATAAACACATCTTTTTTTAGTTGTCTTTATAGTATGCATGTATTCTTACAAATATAAAAAATATATTTATAAAAATTATATCAAAAGATAGGGATATTTATGCTGTACAAGTTTTCTGCAGATTGCATTAGTGTAATTAAAAAAATAATGATAATACAGGCAGATAACAAAGTTTTCTGCATTCTCTTTGACGGGTTTGTTTACACTGAACTTTCGCGGCAGCAGCTGTGCTGATAAGCCAAAACTATCTCGGCAGGATAAGGGTTAATTGACAATACGCCGTCGTTATATCTAAGTGTCGAGTTGAAGGTCACAGCAAGTGTTTTCTTTTCTCGCATAAGATTTTGCATAAATTCTGCTTCAGATGAATACAAAAATAAGTCTGCTAATAACGGAGCGCAATTGGTACCCATGGACATTCCAATAGATTGTTGGAAGACCTGGTCTCCAAAAACCACATAGATATTGCCAATCAGAAACTCGAGCATATTTTTATGTCAACTTCAGAGTCAGATGTGTGCAATCAGAATGTGTTTTAACAAATTAATTTTGAGAATGACCAGTGACGAGGTAAGTAAATTTACGAGTTCCATTTTTATTGAAAAAGCAGCTGTCAATGAGATCAAAAAGCCTGGACTTTATCATGTGGAATGTTTGTGTATAAAGTTGAAAAGTCGTAAGTTTTTAAGCTGTTGATTTTGGTAAAATCTTTTGACTTCAAATTGCCCAAAGGTTCCTTTTTGAGTATCCACATCTGATTCACACCACTTCTTGAATATATTGTTGCAAAGTACTCTTGAAGTCAATTTCCTTCACTTCTGTCAATATCTTAGTGAGGAGTAAAGAAAAAGGCTTGGTTGAACATTTACTGGAACCCACAATGTATCTTTGTTTGTAGGGATTCTTTTGAAATTTCGGAATCCAATATATACATGTACCGTATATGGTATTTCAAATTCATTTTGGTTCTTTTGGGATATTAAAAATATTCAAAAATGACATAAAAATTGGTTAGAAACCTGACAGTCAAAATATAGCGAATAATATTGTATTTGCAAACATTCAATTTCTGAGTCATTTGTAGTATACGAAAAAGCTGAAAATTCACAGACATTAATAATGTATCCATTAGTCTTCCTTGGTTTAAAAAATGATCGTACTCAGAACATGCCAGTAAATCTCTATATAAACCAGTAGAGAGACATAAACACTATATGCAAGTGGTTGTTGGTATTGCTATGGGAAAGCTCAGTCTGGAAGAAATGAAATCATTCCATTTGTAATACAGTTTTACTGGTTTGCTGACAGAATGTCACAGTGTGTGACAAATCTCTTTTATTCTGATTAATCATAAGTTGTTTTAAGTCCTATTCAAAAATATTTCACTCTTATAAAGACGTCAGCTGTAATAGAAGGCCAATACTCGGCCATTGAGCAGTGGGACTTCTTTATTGTACGGTATCACTAGTATTACACATCCCATCTGGTTGTAATGACTTTCTAAGATATGCCTATTGTAACGTATGTTTATTGCACAATCAAAGCACCACAGTAATACATGTATATTCGAATGTTTGACAGACAAAATAAAAATGTCTATTGTACAATCCAACACATTCAAAGCATTAAATACATGTGCTTATAAACGAATTCACTTTATCAAGTAACTCTGAAATAAATAATTTGCTTAAGATGTCGATATATATATATATATATATATATATATATATATATATATATATATATATATATATATATGAACCAAATTTTTCTCTGTCATAATGACAAAATACAACATCAAAAATAATTCCAGGATATAAATAAGGAAGAAATGCACAATGATCTTGGTTAAAAAGCTGCTTTAAAACAATGAAAAATTGCTTAGAGTCAAACATTATAATCTCATTTCGAAATATAAAGGATTCACAATACTAAGAGTAAAATACTTTAAGAAGTAAAATACTTAAGAATTAGTGGTTAAGACTTCCAACTTTCTTTGTCATTAAGGTCAAGATCTAGTAAATAACTTGAGACTAATTTTTTGGTGCTAGATCCATTATGACGTCATAATCAATTTCAACTTTCTTTTTCCCGTACTTTACGGCTTTAGCAGATTTATGTAGAAAATAGGGTATTTTCATGTCATTCAATTTGAAATCATATGAAAAGTAAACCGGATACCTATATTAAATTTGATATTGATTTAAAGAAGAGGCCATGAACATACTAATTACCGTTTTCTGTGAGACTGTAGGCAATCTGGATACATTTCCTTTGCCGAATACGAAAAAAACTCCCATATTCATGACTGGTTTTCTTAAATTTTCATTGAAAATGACAGTTTAAAATACAGTTTTTCATCTTGTTTACCTACAAATTATGCCCCGAAACACCTTATTTGACCAAGCTAAAGTTGTAAAGCATCAATAAAGGAATTTATTTCTCAAGTTGGATAAATCTGTAGGCACCTTTCATTCACTAGATCTTGACCTTAAGTTCCACATACCAAAATCGTTCAAAACTACATGTATTTACCATTGAACAAATTTTTTGCTTTGTTCAGATTATGCATTGTTTGTCATGGATATGAATAAAATGCTAATTTTTGATTTTAATTAAATAGTAATAATGATGCTTGTGATTGTAGCAAATTGCAAACTTAACAACAATAGGTATTGAAAATAAAGGCCCTGAATAAAGATAAAAATTAAATCACAGATAATTGCATGTCAATCATTCTTTGACTTCATGTGTCTCCAAATAGTGTCTGAAATTAAACAATGCCACTAGCATTCAACACTTGGTCCTGAATGAATTGGTTTCTCTTCATTTTCTGCAATTCAGTATTCTGTAAAAAATATTTTATTGTGAAATTCTGAAATTATCACATTTTACTGGTATGTGGTTATGTATATGATCTTTTTTTCCCTAAAAGATCCAATTCAAAATCAATTTCTCTTTAATATTAGCTAGGAAAAGAGATTATGTAGAAACTGTCGTTTTAGATGCAATTAAAACATGCATGTACCTTCCAAGAAATGACTAGATTATCTGCCCCACAGGAAATCATTCCATCAAATCCACAGTCCTCTATTTTCTGCAATGCAGAAAAATACTATTCTTAAATATTGAAGAAATTACACCAATTTAACATTCATAATTTACCAAATTTGATACATTTTTCATTAGTTGCCATCCTCAAAAACATGGACAAAATTACAGGAGTCTTGTTTTTTTTTTTTTACTTAATATCATTTAGTTTTGGTTGTAACACGTCTTTTGCCTACATCACAATGACTTTTTGCCAAAACCTACCAATCTGCTTGACATGACATGTAAAATTGCTCAATTTGAAGGAATTTTCAAAAGATAATTTCAAAGCTTCAAAGTGAAACATTAAATAATAAAGAATGAATTTAAAAGCTACCTAAGCTATAGTGGTATAACCTGGGCTGGAGCAGTTTATGCATTTTTATAAAGTGCTTCGTGGTTGATAGCTAAAAGGCCCTAACCCAGGTTACACAGTATAACTTAGGTGGTTAATTAAGTTAATTCTTAAAATGTCTAAAAAATTATTTTAGTTTGCGTATTTATCAACTTTAATTAAGCTTTTTCTGTGATCAGAAGGTCGATGGTTCGTGTTCCTTTGCCAAGTGCTTAGCACTTCTAAGTAAAAGTTGTCAGTCCTTCGGTTAGACTTTAAAAACTAAGACCCTGTGTCACAGTAGGTGCTGGCACAATAAAGATCCCTCATTGCTCAATGGCCCTGAGTGCCGAGTAAAGGTTTAAATTTGAAGCCCTTCAACAGTATAAGGTGATGTCTATATATGAGTGAAAAATTCTCCAATGGGATGTAAAACAACATTAATTCCATCAATAAATCAACTTTAATTAAGTTTTTTTTGTAAATATAGAAACATCCTTTCCCTATTCTTTACTATATGTCTTTGTTTTCATTCTAGAACATAAGAAATTCCATTGTAGTGAAGTACATGTTAATTTAACCTACTGTGTACAACATATTTTTAAAGAGGCTGGGGGTGGCAGCCATTTTCAGACTATTTTGACCTCCTTTAAAAGAAGAGCTCCTTATAAAGATATACAACCAGAAGTCTCTGTCGAGACTGTAGCTCTACTGGTTTATACTTAAAACAAAGGAAGAGAAAAGTAGCAGTTGGGACTTGAGACTTTAAATCAGCAATAAATAGAAAAATGATCCTTGCCACTCATCAAAATAAAAACCAATGCACAGAATTATGTATCTTAGTATAGTCTACTTGTGTGCCAAGTTATACTGAAATCAGACCAAAACTGCAGGAGGAGTAGCATTTTGAAAGAATTTCACAGAAATTTCTATTTTTAGTAACCATGGCAACATTGTTCACTGAAATCAAAAACCGATGCACAGAAATATGTATCTTAGTGTAGTCTACTTGTATGCCAAGTTATATCAAAATCAGACCAAAACTGTAGGAGGAGTAGCATTTTGAAAGAATTTCACAGAAATTTCTAATTTTAGTAACCACGGCAACACCGTTTATCGAAATCAAAAACCGATGCACAGAATTATGTATCTTAGTGTAGTCTACTTGTGTGCCAAGTTATACTGAAATCGGACCAAATCTGTAGGAGGAGTAGCATTTTGAAAGAATTTCAAAGAAATTTCTATTTTTAGTAACCACGGCAACACCGTTCATCGAAATCAAAAACAGATGCACAGAATTATGTATTTTAGTGTAGTCTACTTGTGTGCCAAGTAATATTGAAATTGGACCAAAAGTGTAGGAGGAGTAGCATTTTGAAAGAATTTCAAAGAAATTTCTATTTTTAGTAACCACAGCAACACCGTTCATCGAAATCAAAAACCGATGCACAGAATTATGTATCTTAGTGTAGTCTACTTTTGTGCCAAGTTATATTGAAATCAGACCAAAACTGTAGGAGGAGTAGCATTTTGAAAGAATTTCACAGAAATTTCTATTTTTAGTAACCACGGCAACACCATTCATCGAAATCAAAAACCGATGCACAAAATTATGTATCTTAGTGTAGTCTACTTGTGTGCCAAGTCATATTGAAATCGGACCAAAACTGTAGGAGGAGTAGCATTTTGAAAAATTGTTTACAGACAGACAGACAGACGGACAGACAGACAGACGGACGGACGACGGACGCATTACTATCGCATAAGCTCTTCTGGTCTCTGACCAGTAGAGCTAAAAACGATCAAATTTTAAAACTAAAATTCCTTAAGTTTACATACCATACCATCACAGACCCACAGTGTCCCAGACACTCCCCAAGCAAGACCGGTTCAGGAACTGGGTCAGATCCCCTGTGCTGGTGAAGCTGACCAAAACTAGACAAATGAGGCAGAATTTATTTCTTTTCTGTTCGTACAATAGCAATTCTGAAAACTTGATTTTCAATTAGTACAAACACAGATTTTCTGGGGGTAACTCCATAAAACTTGCATCTTAAATTTAAAATTAACTCCACTGCATTGTTCTCTTTTATTTCAGAAATCAAGGAATCAAAATACTGTTAATTAATTTAAAAATGAACTTACTTGATGTCTACATGTAAGAACCTCTCTATTGGACTAAGTCCCATTGATGATTTCAACATTAACTCTTCTCCAGTGCTACTTTGTGACCTTTGACCCCATAAACGGATACTTCCATCCTCAGAACATGTAGCAAGCAACAACCTTCAAATGAAAAATTTATTTAATCACCAAAAAGTTACAGATTTTTTCCCTATAAAAAAATATGAATGCAATATGAATGCAATTTGTGTCAAATTAAGAAACTATTTTATAAGATAATACTTTTTAACTTACCTTAATTATTACACTTATAAAATATTTGCTATATTTGCCTATAAAGTGCTATTAAAAAGACAAAGTAATACGACAACATTTTCATATTAAACATAACTTTTTTTAGCATAAATACAGGTTACAGTACTTACCCATTACAGAGAAGTGTCAGCTGAGTGACTTTAGAGTAATGGGCCTTTAGTTTCTTACACAGGAGCTTGTTAGAGAGTGTGTCAAATATTGCAAAACCACAACCAATAGCTACCAATAAGTACCTCTGAAACCAATGAAAATACCTTTTATAATATCATGTTCAAGTATCTATTTCACACAATACAGTCGCTGGGGTATCTGTCTAAATAAAGCCACTGAAAAAGGCATAGTTGGGTTGAAAACTTTAGGTTAATTATATATATATATATATATATATATATATATATATATATATATATATATATATATATATATATATATATATATATACATATATATCACCCTTCTTCCTTCAGGATTTCTTATGATCATATATGATCTGCACCTCAAAATGAAGAAGAAAAGCATACGCAAGTGAGTTAAGGCTACGTATAATAGTAAAACCCTGTTTTAAGTTGAAACAGGGTAAACATTTACAGTCCGCTGTAAGTTTCATAAAACTTTTATCTGTTGAGAAAGGGCATAGGATTTGTGCAACAATTTCATTAATTTTTGGAATAATCTCCGTAATATTATACATTATTACATCTTAAATAAAATAGGTTATGCCCCTGCGCTGACATTGTTTTGTTGATGTGTTTAACTGTTTTATTACTTTAAAAAAAAACAATTACATCATATGACATCATAATGTGTACTAGCTTTAACATGTTGTGAATACTAAGTATGAATAAGAAAATCAAGGAATCACTTGTGTATTCCTTTTTAAAATTATTAGATATGCTGCAAATGTTTATTGAATTTCATTTTGTTTTAATACAGAATGACCAACAAATTACCCAGTCCAGTTGAAATTGAAAACATTCAATACATTTATTATGTTTATATATACCTGGTTTTCACAAGCAATATACTGCACACTGTATGGATAAACATTGGCCTTCCCCTTGTATTCTGACATGGTGTTCAATTTCTTAAGAGGTGCAAATGTTTCTGATGACCACAGTAATATTGTGCCATCTAATGAGCCACTGGCAAATAATTTATCTAGAATATAGAATAGAGTAAATCAAAGCAACTACCGGTAGTTCTATCTTAATGATTTATCCCATTTTTTATAATACTGTTTAAAAACTAATGAAATACTGCAGATCACTAAATTTTCGTGACACCTTATTTTCGTGAGATAGTCATTGACTCTTGATTAGCGAAACAAAATTTTCATGAACTATGGTTATTGCTCTATATAATCTTAAGGAATACTATTATACGCAAAAAGTAATTTTCGCGAGCACACTGTCTTGCGTAATTACGCGAAAATAAAGTTCTCGCGAATAACAAGTGATTTACAGTATTCAAGACAATTTTTATTTGCAATTTATAAATTTAAACTAATCAATGACTCATAGTTGGGAGTGTGGAAATATTTTATTTAGACTAAAATTTAACAGGATTGTTTGCTGCAAAAGAGTTTTGCCAATAAAATATCTCAAATTGCATGTTTATTATTTCTCACATCTTGTGAAAATTTAGTTTACAATATTGAATAGTGTATCAATTAAAAGCTTGCAAATAATGCTGTCCCTGCAAACATTTCCACATTAGAAAATACCCCTTCTCTCTGATTTGGACTTTTTTTTTAATATCTTTTCAAAAGAATGCAGTAGTAGAAAAATGTTATTAAATTCATTTATTATTGAGGATCAGTGTAAGGTTTAAATGAACACGATCCCTGATGTATACATGTACATGTACCTGACACAGGAATCAAAGCACGTATGGCCTCTAGGTGTGGTGGCAGTATCTTCAGCATACATATCCTGTAGTTTACCTCATCCAAATTAAGGGAATCCTTGATGGAATAAACAGCTATGAAAAGAAATTTCTTCATTTAAATGTAACAGACAAAAATGTTTAAAAAAAATAAAGATATTACATTAAGCTTATATTATATGCCCCTTAAACACCCAATTTTATGTTAACGCCCCCAAAATCTACCTGATTCAAGATCAATAATTTACCGCCTGTCAATCATTAATAAAACAATAGCTTCTGATTTGATTGACAGCTCAGCTACCCGTGCCTCCTGATCATCTGAGTTTGCATATGTTTTGAAAACAATTACCTGGTCCCGCGTGAAACGCTTTCATGTACCCGCATAGTATACACGCGGATTAGAAAACTCCAATATGTTTGAATTTTATTTCAAAAAATTATTGTGAGTAGATTATTAAAACATTGACATAATAAAATATTTCTTTTCTATCTTCATTGTTTTTTGTCACTTGTAAGTTTTATATTGTCCACGTTTATCTGTAGAAAAAAAAGACCGCGTCCACAGAAACCGGCTCTAATTGCCGTCATTAGAAGTCCGACGAATTAAATTATTTTTTAAGAAATGGGATATAAGAAAAGTATTCAGCACAAAAAAAACGGCATAGCATAGTTTTTAAAAGATGTTTTATTTTGTACTATGGCTACAATCCGCACGATGTTGCACAGAAATTGATGTTGCACAGAAATTGATGTTGCACAGAAATTGATGTCAGAATTAATACTCGAATTTCCTTTAGCGTCTGTATTTATGCGTAATGAAAATGTGAAGATAATCATTCGATTCTGAAAAGTAGTCTTTCTAACCGTAACATTTTGTTAACACACGAAGAATAAAAAGTATGGAATATATTGGACAACATTGTTGGCTATAAAAAAAAAATCCGATCGCGGTAAATGCATGTTCACATGCTCGACGAATCATAAGGTGGATCAATATTTTTTTTTTTATTTCAATTGTCAGACTTTTTTAATCAAGTGATTTCTTTTATTGAAGATTAAAAAACGATAAATATTATTGATTTGTAGTTTTACTCGTGAATTTTTCTTTTATGTAAGGAAAACATTTTCTAAAATGATATACATGAATCTTATTTTTTTTTAATTCAAAACATTACCATGATTACGATGAAAGCGTTTAATTTACAAATAAATTCCACATTAAAATAATTATTTTACGTAGTTTCACTCAAAACCAGACACAAAACACGTAATGTTGACCCTGATTACCAAACACAGACTTCCTGTGTAATGCTACATATACACAGATTTTTGACATCTTGGGTATTGGGAGTCTCCAGGTAAATAACACCACTGTTACTTTGACCACTCCCCCTCCTCAGGTAACCGTACGGTAAAAAAATTGGGTCTTTAACTCAACCCTTAATTCTCAGAGTCTCAAGTTGGGTAGGTAAAGAGATTTAAATAATTTTATTTTGACAGGATCTGTTAAAGTGTGTTTCAATTCAAATTTTAAAACAGCTAGAGTATCATAGAGATGGAATTTAAAAACGAAATTTAACATTAAATTAAATCATAATAATATCATTCAGTTGAAGAAACAAAATATCTCAAATCAATGTAAAACTGAATTTAACTACATTGTATTTATATACAGAGACAATATTTTTGGATCCTTAAATAATTGAACGTCTTAAATTCATATATACTGTAATGCAAAAAGATTCCAGTATTAATTACACAGACAAAGTTCTTCAAAGACCTTACATGGCACACTTGTTCAAAAGCATGGATTTTGATGAATTTTCATTTTTTAAATTCAAAAATATTTATAATTTGAATAATTTAGTTAATTTTTTTTTTAATTGACAGAATTTATTTGGGTCTGTTGTGTTGGGGAAATCAAAGGTTATTTTATTTATTTTGGCCAAAAAATTCTGTACATGAAAATTCTTGTTTATTTACAGCATTTCTTGAAATACATGTATACAAGTAATTTAAAAGATGTATTTATCTGGTAGTTTATAATTCAAATAATCCAAATGAATCACTTACTTAGTTTTTTGTCACATGCAGTCACAAATTTTTCATTCTTCTGGTTTGTAGAAATCAACAGAGAAATGTCAGCTGAAATAAATTTAGATATTGTAAGTAAACATAATGAATATTGCTTATAATATATAATGACCTAATGTAAATTTTCTGAACTTGTATGTACCTTGTCACTTCTTTCATCTAGATGTTTTATATTCCAAATTTTCACAATACAGTAAAACTAGGTTATAACGAAGTCACTGGGGCCTATGAAATTACTTCGCTATAACCATAATTCGTTATATCCATATAAGAAATTGATTATTTTTTTTATTTGGGGATCTAAAATGACTTCGCTTTATCCATGAATTCGCAATATCCGTGTGCGTACTAAACGAGTTTTACTGTAATGCTAAAATTTGAGTAGTTTAATCTAACTCTTTGTCCATTTAAGACAAGTTTATTGTACTTATATTATATTCACTCTTATTAAGAAAAGATAAATTTAAAAAAAAAAACACAAACACATGTCCATGGGCTGCAATGCTCACCTGAGTCACTGTGGTCTTGTTCACCATTAGATTTTTTTTTATATTTCCTGTTTTTTGGGGTAGAACACTTGTCTATACTAGTTCTCTTACCTTCCTATTTTTGGGTAAGACCCTTGTCTATAAGACTTCTCTTACCTTCCTGTGTTTTGGGTAAGACCCTTGTCTATAAGACTTCTCTTACCTTCCTGTGTTTTGGGTAAGACCCTTGTCTATAAGACTTCTCTTATCTTCCTGTTCGTGGGTAAGACCCTTGTCTATAAGACTTTTCTTACCTTCCTATTTTGGGGTAAGACCTTTGTCTATAAGACTTCTCTTACCTTCCTGTTTTTGGGTGAGACCTTTGTCTATAAGACTTCTCTTACCTTCCTGTTTTTGGGTGAGACCTTTGTCTATAAGACTTCTCTTACCTTCCTGTTTTTGGGTGAGACCTTTGTCTATAAGACTTCTCTTACCTTCCTGTTTTTGGGTGAGACCTTTGTCTATAAGACTTCTCTTACCTTCCTGTTTTTGGGTGAGACCTTTGTCTATAAGACTTCTCTTACCTTCCTGTTTTTGGGTGAGACCTTTGTCTAGAAGACTTCTCTTACCTTCCTGTTTTTGGGTGAGACCTTTGTCTATAAGACTTCTGTTACCTTCCTGTATTTTGGGTAAGACCCTTGTCTATAAGACTTCTCTTACCTTCCTGTTTTTGGGTGAGACCTTTGTCTATAAGACTTCTCTTACCTTCCTGTTTTTGGGTGAGACCTTTGCCTATAAGACTTCTCTTACTTTACTGTTTTTGGGTGAGATCCTTGTCTATAAGACTTTTCTTACATGTACCTTCCTGTTTTGGGGTAAGACCTTTGTCTATAAGACTTCTCTTACCTTCCTGTTTTTGGGTGAGACCTTTGTCTATAAGACGTCTCTTACATTCCTATTTTTGGGTGAGACCCTTGTCTATAATACTTTTCTTACCTTCTTGTTTCTCTTTATCGAGAACACATGTATCTAGTAGTATACCACTCCCTGTCCAGAGGTGAAGCTTCTCCCCCGCAGACAAAAACAAATCATCAAGAATGGGAAGCAGGCACTAAAAAGAAAAAAAAACATAGATAGTGCAGGCAGTGAATGACAGCAGAATGTATGCTTCTATTGACAATGCTCAAACATAGTGCATAAAAGTTAAACATGCTTATAGCACAACACCGAAGACAAACAATTTTGATTTGTGATTAACATAATTCATTATAATCTGATAATAATTCAAATAAAAACAAAAGGAATAAAAACCACTAGCTATAAGCATGAATTTGTCATAAGCATGTTCAGAATAAAGGTGTTTTACTGTACAGGTTCACTATAACATGAGTATAAAATTTGCTGTGTCACCTTAACAGAAGCTTCATGTTCTGTGACGTCCTGAACACATTTGCCTTGTTCAATATCCCACACCTACGAATAAAAAGAAAGTTCCATACATTATAATTAGTACACTGGCAATAAACATAATGATTGCATAACACATCTGAAGTTAATTAAAAAGATTCAAAGAAAGTCTTAAATTTTGCCAAATTAATTCCTTTTTTCTTTTTTTTTGGCACATGAAATCATTACTTACATGTACCCTATCAAGATGGGAACAGAAATTACTTTCCCTTTCATTAAATTAATATAAAATATAAAGAATTTACTTTAATGTGTTTGTCAGATGATCCAGTAATGAGCAAATGGGAATCCTTATTTTTTAGACGAAAAGACAGCAAGCATGTCACAGGTCTTATGTGAGCCTCCAAAACTATCAACTTCATACATAACTATATGAAATAAAAAGAAAACCATTGAAGAAATTATCAGTGATAAATTATATCCTGATCCTTTTTTTGTTTGTTTTGAATAATTAATTATGCATGTTTATATCTTTAATAACAGATCTTCAGCAATGTTTGTAAATAAAAATACAAATAACTAGATGCTGTCATGAGACAGTAATACCCGCACTAAGGTGTTTGCCTCTAAATGCACACTCCTCTAAAATTAGGCTTTACCAAAGAAAAAGTCAATATAATTTAATAATTTACATAATAGGGCCTCCATGTACTCATCAAATTGAGCATAATATTCTCAAGTGAACATGTGACCCGTCACCATGGGCCTCGATCTTATAGGTACATGTATTTCATATTCATAATTCATTACCAGTCTGAAATTAAACAACAGAATTCAATTAATGATGTAAATTAGGTTTGAAACAAAGGGGGGGGGTTAAATTTTTGGCCCATAATTGGAACTTTTTAAATCTATTTTCTCATGTAGATCAACAACAAATATTATTCAAATTAGTTTAAAGCGTTTTTGATGATTTTTTCCAAAATGTACAAACTTTTTAATACTTGATTAGGCAGAAACACCTTGAAAGCTGCCATATACCATGTATACCCAATCAATTTAGTCAACCCCCACCCTTCTCCCATCAACACACACACGCAAACACACCCTATTTTCCTGTTTTTGGAAATAGGCCTAGATGGCAAAGTTAAGATAAAACATCTTTTGTAAATAATAATTTTAAATTTGTTCTTAACTTCTTATACTGTAAATGTATCTGAAGACTTGCATCACATTGGGCTTGTGTCACGTACCTAACTTAAGTACTAGTTTTACCATTATCATTTTTAGATCTATAGCACTGCACGTGCAGTACTAGGCGTAGTGTTGTGTACACATCATTGCATGTATGTCAGTTGGAATTATTTTGTGTTTAATTGGATTATATTTCATGAAGTTGGAGCTATGGCAGTCGGTAAGTACACGTTTTGGTATAGATTTGGGTAAAATAGTCTGAAATGCAACTGGTTAGGTTAAAGTTTAAAGGATCAAAGGTCATCCGATGCTGCAATAAGACGAATTTCACATTCTAAAGAGTTATCGCCCGTTATCGATGTTACATTCAGTTACAAAATACAGAATTTTTTTCTGAGAGGGAGGGGGGACTTCCAGACCAGAATTTCCTGAGAAGCAAATAAAAGGAGAAGTTATGGTGGTGTCTGTTTTCTAGGGTGGAGGGCATCCAAAGTCTTTTTTATATTATAGTCCTGCAAATTCGGGGGGGGGGGGGGGGGAGGGATCTCAAGATACACTTCCAGTCCCTGTAAACAGTAATGGCAAATGATCATGTGACTCCTAAATAGTAGGAAACTTTTTCCATTTGACCATACATAATTTTGCGCTTTTTGTGTTATTATGTTATGTAAATTTAATGGTATAAAGGTTTTGAACCCCCTGGAGGTCATCCCCACTCTCCTAATGATTCTAACTGGAAATGTTCACAATATGACTGCATTAAATGAAATAAAAGTGCATCAATGATAAGATTGCTTGACATTTCATTCATCAACCTATCCTCCTAGAATTAGGAATGAAAATCATTCAAAGAGATGGACCACATTAAAGTATTTGTAAATAGGCTATTAACATATTTTTTTAAAAATGTAAAACAAGCAGTTAAGTTTGCATACATGTCATGAATATAAACAGGGGTCTGGGATGGGGTGAGGGGAAGGATCGAGTTCCTGTCTCTTTACGTCTTAATGGTTGAAAACTCCTAAAATGAATGTTGACTTGTCCTCATTATTTTTCAAGTGGGGGTGTCTCCATTTGAGTGAAAAATTCCTGAGAGGGATGTTTAACAACAAACAAACAATTAAATGACATAAAAACACAATATTGATTTGCGTTAAGAAATATGCAGGGGATTTTTTCCATCATAAATCTTCTTCTCAAGAACAGCAAGGGCATTATTGCCCCCTGTTTTGGGGGAAAGGGTCCAGGAACATTAAATCTTATTTGTCTGTCAGTCTGGCCATCTTTGACAGTATGTGCATCCGTCACAATAAATTTAACCTTGATCATAACTTTTGAATAATATGAGATAGGGCTTTCATATTTCACATGTACATTACCACAAAACTTTCTAAATGTACTATGATTTTTTAACCCAAGTGAGACCTTGACCTCAAAATTTTACCTACTTTCCAAAAAATAACATTTTAAATTAATCATTTTGAAAGAGAAAAGATATGGCATTTAAATTATACATGTATATTACATGTGAAAAGACTTTTCTAAATATATCATGACTTTTGACTTTCTGATCTTGACCTAGAAGTTTAACCTACTTTTCAAAAATATTATATTATATATTTATATATATATATATAACTTTTGATTGAAAAGAGATCGGTCTTTCATATTTGACATGTACTTTACCTGCAACAAAATATTTCAAGCATGCGATGATTTCCCCCCTTTGACCTAATTTTCATAAAGTGACATATGATAGGGATGCATATTTGATACACAATCTGCCATAAATTATGGCATCCCATTCACTTAAACACAGAAAGCAAAGGACCACAATTCTTTGAATTTGCATGTATATTCTTGATATATATGGAAACATCCTCATATAATGTATATTCAAGTTTTTTATGCTACGCCATGATTAGGAATACATGTATTAGTTTTTGTCATGTCCGTCCTCCACCCTTCCATCTGTCTTTCCATCGAGCTCAAAGAAATTATTTTCTAGATATTTTATCAAAGTTCATATGCTGATGCATATACTGATGTAAACTATCCAACTGTGGCAATATTTTTTATGCGCCCGGATCGATAGATCCCGGGCATATATTGTTTTTGTCCTGTCTGTTTGTCTGTTTATCTGTTTGTCTGTTTGTCTGTTGTCAACTTTAACCTTGACCATAACTTTTGAACAATAAGAGATAGAGACTTCATATTTGGTATGCATACTCCACTATTAAAGTCCTTTCAAATGACATCAAGGTCAATGACCTTGTGACCTTGACTGTGACCTATATGCTAAAAATAGCTTTTTCCACTGTTTGTCATAACTTTTTAACCATAGGAGATAGGGACTTGATATTTGGTATGCATACTCCTCTAATAAAGCCCTTTCAGTTGACAACAAGGTCAATGATCTTGTGACCTTGACTGTGACCTATATGCTAAAAATAGCTTTTAACACTTTTTGCCTTAACTTTTGAACCATAGGAGATAGGAACCTCATATTTGGGATGCAAACTCCACAGATTAAGTTCTTTCAAATGACACCATGGCCAATGACCTTGTGACCTTGACCGTGACCTAGATGCTAAAAATAGCTTTTTACACTTTTTGCCATAACTTTTTAACCATAGGAGATAGGAACTTCATATTTAGGATGCATACTCCACTGATTAAATTCTTTCAAATGACACCATGGTCAATGACCTTGACTGTGACCTATATGCTAAAAATAGCTTTTTACACTTTTGGCCATAACTTTTAAACCATAGTAGATAGGGACTTCATATTTGGGATGCATACTCCACTGATTAAGTTCTTTCAAATGACACCACGGTCAGTGACCTTGTGACCTTGACTGTGACCAATATGCTAGAAATAGATTTTTTGAACTTTGTTTCCGCCGGGCGCATAGTGTTTCACAAACACATCTTGTTTACCTTTACTTTCCTTTGACCTTTACTTAACTTTTCTTAAAATTAGTGTTTAGCTTTATTTTAGAGAAACCATAATGATTCAAGTTGTGTAATGAAACTTCACATGATGATACATACTGATGTAAGCAATTAAAGCTTTACAATGCTTCACTCTTTTTTACCTTGACATTTCCTGTGATATTGACCTCACTGACTTAGACTAGATCAGTTTTGAATAAACAGTTCAAGATATATTAATCAAACTTCATATGCTAATACATACTGATGAGAGCTATTATTGCATTAACTTATTTTGACCTTGAATTTTCTTTTGACCTTGACCTCACTTTTTGAAATATGTGTTTATCTAAGTTTCAAATAAACCATTAATTATATTTTTATCAAAATTCATATGATAATAGTAAATTTACACTGATGTAAGCTTTTCAGCTAGAACAACATTTTGACCACAACCTTTCCTTTGACTTCTCTTTTCTTAAAACAAAGTGTTAAGCTCAGTTTCATTAAATCATTCAAGATATTTTTATCAAACATAATAAGCTAATATGTATTAGTGAGAGCTATTCAGCTGCATCAAAAACTTCATCTTGCACATTCCTGTGACCTTGACCTCCCTCCTCTTTAATATGTATTTTGCTTAGTTTTTAAGAAATAATTTAAGACATTTTTATGTTTAACACGCACTTATACATAATTTGATGAGAATTTATTATCTATATCCAATTTATTTATATTTTAGTTTCAATTCTGAAAAAAAAACTGTTTAAGATATTTTCATCAAACTTTATACACAAATACAAATTTTAGTTTTTAGTTTTTAGCTCACCTGAGCCGAAGGCTCAAGTGAGCTTTTCTGATCATATTTTGTCCGGCGTCCGTCTGTCTGTCTAGCTGTCTGTAAACTTTTCACATTTTCGACTTCTTCTCAAGAACCACTGGGCCATTTCAACCAAACTTGCCACAAAGCATCCTTGGGTGAAGGGGATTCAAGTTTTTTCAAATGAAGGGCCATGCCCTCATTCAAGGGGAGATAATTGGGAATTAATGAAAATTTGGTGGCATGTTTTAAAAATCTTCTTCTCAAGAACCACTGTGCCAGGAAAGATGAAACTTATGGGTTAACATCCTCAGGTAGTGAATATTCAAATGTCTTCAAATCATGACCCCCGGGGGTAGGGCAGGGCCAAAATGGCCGACCAAAGTTTTATATAGAAATATATTGGAAAATTCTTTAAAAATCTTCTTCTCAAGAACCACTGTGCCAGGAAAGATGAAACTTATGGAGTAACATCCTCAGATAGTGTAGATTCAAGTTTGTTCAAATCATGACCCCCGGGGGTAGGGCAGGGCCAAATTGGCTGACCAAAGTTTTACATAGAAATATATAGGAAAATTCTTTAAAAATCTTCTCAAGAATGACAAATCCATAATTCATCAAATTTATATGGAAGCATCCTCAGGTAGTGAAGATTCAAGTTTGTTCAAATCATGACCCTGGGGGTAGGGCGGGGCCAAAAAGGCCGACCAAAGTTTTACATAGAAATTTATGGGAAAATTCTTTAAAAATCTTCTTCTCAAGAATGACAAATCCATAATTCATCATATTTATATGGAAGCATCTTCAGGTTGTGTAGATTCAAATTTGTACAAATCATGACCCCAGGGGGTAGGGCGGGGTCAAAATGGCCGACCAAAGTTTTACATAGAAATATATGGGAAAATTCTTTGAAGAAAAGCAAATCCATGATTCATCATGGGATTACTTTTGGATTTTAACTTTTCAATAATAAACCAATTTCTACTTTTTCTTAGCTTCAGTACTCAGGTGAGCAATGTGGCCCATGGGCCTCTTGTTTAATGTACCATTAGTAATACACATCTGGCGGGACATCCATGTCCTATAGACATATTTCTAGTTTTTCAAATCATCACCTCAGGCTAGGGTCAGGCCACAATTAGGGATCAAAGTTTTATTAAGGAATAAAAGGAAACACATCTTTAAAGTTCTTCTTTTCAGGAACACCAAGAGCATGATTAATATGGAAATATTCTCAAGAGGTGTAGATTCAAGTTTGTGCAAATCATGACCACCAGGGTTAGGGAGGTGCCATATTTTTCCAGCCCCGTTTTGCCATCCATATGAAAATTCAAATTTTAAAACCATTTTACACATACACAAAACAAACCAATCATTTTCTAAATGATCATGGTTTAAAGCTATTGCAGCATAAGATATTAGGGAAGTTCTTGAATGCAGGGTGATTAAACATGTCAAATATATGTAAAAAAAAAAAAATATATAAAAATTCTACCTCGATTTGATCCCCATCCCCCCCACCCCCCGGGCAAAATGAAAATTCCGAAACCTTACTGCACATCTACATGACACCACCAACCATCTCTTAAAAGATGATAAGGCTGCTGAGTAAAATGTAGAAGGAGTTCAGGGAAGAAGGGGCTTTTTGTATAAAAAACGTCATTTTTCGACCCCCATTTGATCCCCCGGGGCAAAATCAAAATTCCGAAACCTTACTGCACATCTACATGACACCACCAACCATCTCTCAAAAGATGATTAGGCTGCTGAGTAAAATGTAGAAGGAGTTCAGGGAAGAAGGGGCTTTTTGTATAAAAAACGTCATTTTTTGACCCCCATTTGATCCCCTGGGGCAAAATCAAAATTCCGAAACCTTACTGCACATCTACATGACACCACCAACCATCTCTCAAAAGATGATTAGGCTGCTGAGTAAAATGTAGAAGGAGTTCAGGGAAGAAGGGGCTTTTTGTATAAAAAACATCATTTTTCGACCCCCATTTGATCCCCTGGGGCAAAATCAAAATTCCGAAACCTTACTGCACATCTACATGACACCACCAACCATCTCTCAAAAGATGATTAGGCTGCTAAGTAAAATGTAGAAGGAGTTCAGGGAAGAAGGGGCTTTTTGTATAAAAAACGTCATTTTTCTACCCCCATTTGATCCCCCAGGGCAAAATCAAAATTCCGAAACCTTACTGCACATCTACATGACACCACCAACCATCTCTCAAAAGATGATTAGGGTGCTGAGTAAAATGTAGAAGGAGTTCAGGGAAGAAAAGGCTTTTTGTATAAAAAAACGTCATTTTTTGACCCCCATTTGATCCCCCGGGGCAAAATCAAAATTCCGAAACCTTACTGCACATCTACATGACACCCCCAACCATCTCCCAAAGGATGATTAAGCTACTGTGAAAAATGTAGGAGGAGTTCAGGGAAGAAGGTGCTTTTTGTATAAAAAAACGTCATTTTTCGACCCCCATTTGATCCCCCGGGGCAAAATCAAAATTCCAAAACCTTACTGCACATCTACATGACACCCCCAACCATCTCCCAAAGGATGATTAAGCTACTGTGAAAAATGTAGGAGGAGTTCAGGGAAGAAGGGGCTTTTTGTATAAAAAACGTCATTTTTCGACCCCCATTTGATCCCCCGGGGCAAAATCAAAATTCCAAAACCTTACTGCACATCTACATGACACCCCCAACCATCTCCCAAAGGATGATTAAGCTACTGTGAAAAATGTAGGAGGAGTTCAGGGAAGAAGGGGGTTTTTGTATAAAAAACGTCATTTTTCGACCCCCATTTGATCCCTCGGGGCAAAATCAAAATTCCGAAACCTTACTGCACATCTACATGACACCCCCAACCATCTCCCAAAGGATGATTAAGCTACTGTGAAAAATGTAGGAGGAGTTCAGGGAAGAAGGGGGTTTTTGTATAAAAAACGTCATTTTTCGACCCCCATTTGATCCCCCGGGGCAAAATCAAAATTCTGAAACCTTACTGCACATCTACATGACACCCCCAACCATCTCCCAAAGGATGATTAAGCTACTGTGAAAAATGTAGGAGGAGTTCAGGGAAGAAAAGTGTGACAGACGGACGGACGGACGGACGGACGGACGGACGGACGGACATGAGTAACAACAATATACCCGAACTTTCTTTCGAAAGTGCGGGTATAATAATTCTAAAAAAAATTATAAATTACATAAGTATTACAATTTACATGATTTGATAATAATCTGGATTAAACCACAGGAGTTTGTGTAACAGTAACTATTAATTTTACCGAAATTTTCAATAAATTAAAAAAATATGTAATACTTATAATAATAAAACAAGAAGTGCAATCACTGCAATGCATGTTATTATGATAGGTATTACATTTTTTTTAATTTAACGGTACTGAAAATTTCAGTAAAATTGGTAGGTACACAAACTCCTGTGATTAAATGATTAAACATACTAATGCCAAACAATACCTGTATGTCCCATACAACAACAATGCCATCATCCCCTGCAGTGACACACCTGGTGAAAGTACATAATAATAAACAGGTTTATAGGTACATGTATCTGAAAATCCCTGACAAGAGTACACATAATAAACAGATAAAGGTGTCTCCATCTTCCATATGTCACACGGTTAAAGCAAATTGTTTTATTAATATAATAGCTAAATTCAATATATTTCCAAATATGTATCACTCAATTTTACTGTAGGTTTTTATACATTAATCCAAGACAGCATGAATCAATATCACCCCTCTCTGAGACTGCCATAGTGCACAGTTTTAGTTGTTTTTCTAATACTTTGTTTATTGGACAAAAGGTATGTAATTAGTCCCTAAGTTTTCTTTATATTCATATTTTGCTTATTTTTTAGAGGTATATAATAAAATTCATTATATCAATAAATTGGTCCAAAGACCCATATCATTTCTTGTTGACAGGTGCAGATCAATCATTAGATCAAACTCAATGCATCGCGTCTCATTTGGTCTGATGATCCTTTAACAATAGATGTGAAACTGCTCTTCGGATCAAGTTACTGTTATATTTGTTTTGTAGAAATATTACCAAAGAATTTAAATGTTCAAAACTACCTAAGATTTAATAATAATCATTTATTCATAAAATAAAATGATGGAAAGGGCAACAATTAATTCTTAGCGTTTCATAATTCCTCCATGTTTTTCATGCATGCATATATTTTCATACTGTAATTACCCTATATAAAATGAATACAGTAAAACTGCATATTTACTTTATTTCCTTTGCATGTATAATAAATTTATTTTAATTTAACCTTTGGACAAGACTGTTAGACAAATGAAAATGTTTACCTTCTCTCATCAATAATTAGTAGGTGCCGCACTATGTCGGTATGATGCTGAAGAAAGTATATCTCAGTGAAAGGATTACATGTCTGCTCGCCATTCAACTCTTCTACATGCTGTAACATAAATATATGTGAATCAGTAATTTTCAATTGCTAGTAGTTAACCAGGACCAGTACAATCACCAGATTTAGCTACGTAGGTAGAATTACCTACATAGCTTTATTTGCCTACCTCAGGTAGCTTTATTTAGCTACTAGTATTTCAATGAAACTTTTCACTATTTTTCTTTTCATGAAAATGAGACAAAAAATCGCAATTAATTGCATGAATATTAATATTTATACTAGGGAAAACAATCCAAAGCAGAGATATTTTATACATTGCTGCGTTTGGACAATTTGGAGCAAAACATGTAATTCCATTGTTTGGTTAACTGTCCTCTCTATAGGGTGCGATGAGGCATGACTGAGTATGATTACTTCACATTGTGCTGAATGATTACAGACCTATTATCATGTTAACCAGAACTGGACTTCTTTGTCATTTCAATCAAGGAGTAACTGTTCTAAATGTCACACATAGCCCTAAAACTTTCAGAATTTTGATTGCAATTGCGCAGAAAAAGACAATTCTTCAAGGGTGATTTTTACATGAATTGTTTTCAGATGAGTGCAAAGTTGAAAATGATCACTGCATCAAAATGAGATTTTCTGCACTTCCTGAGAAAAAATGCTTTTTTATTTAAATTAATTGATTTGGTAGCTAAATAAAGCTACCTCAGGTAAGTAAATAAAGCTAAGTAGGTAAATCAAGCTACGTAGCTAAATCTAGTGATTGTACTGGACCTGTTAACTAAGTAAAGAGGGCTAGGAGCACTGACATTCTGTAGCAGGTACTGAGCAGTCTTCAGTTAAGGTGCAGCGAGGTTTACTTTAAATATTGGTGTTCTGCTGGCATTACAAAAGCAGACCTTTGTATTATTGACGCCCCAACATTTTGCCATGCGATAACGGATGACACTCTCCTTCTTTCACTTTACCATCTGTTTACATCCATCATGTTTCCGAAAGCCATGTGGATATTTCATTCAAAAATCACGACATATTATAAATGTCAAACATATTATGTGTATAAATAAATAAATATATCAAATACCTCTGTGTCTTCTTCCTTTTGTTGCCCCTTTTTCCATAATTTTTGCCACATTGACATTTGACATCGGAATCGAGTTGCGTAAAATAAATACTTGTATTACAAACTAACCCGACTAAAATTAGAACGCATTCAGCATGTTCTGAGCAAATTGTTCAAACACTGTGTAAAATACTTTAAAGTAAATAAAAGAACCAAGTCAAGTTTAAAGAATGCTATTAAAGCATTATCATGGTAATATTGAAATTCAATTAAATGATTAAATGATAAGCGCGACGCAAACGTTCACTGCAATATACAGTGTATATATATGATGCATGTATACATGTAATTTAGAAAACTAACATCTGTTATACCTGAGAAATATTTTTAATTTAGTACTCTTTGTGATACTAAAAATGCATGTCACCTTTTTTTCTTTTGCAGTTTTTGCATGATTATAATAATGAAATGCATTTGGTATGGGTGACCAAACTTTATCCAATGATAGCACTTGAATAAATTCTTTCATTTAAATAAAAATGTAAAAATCAGTATATATAAAAGTGAAATTACCACTCTTTTATCAAAGTTCTTCTAAATGAATAGCTACTTAACTCAAAGGTTCTTCTGTGAAGAATAAAACATTTATTTACTTTCTTTTAATATCTGCTATGTGTCATCTGAGTTATCTTTCTTTGTTTAAGGTTTCGTCAAAGGTCAACATGTCCAAAAATTTATTTTTACAATAACTCCAAAACTATGTGAGTTATAAAGTTAAAACTTTTACAGTTTATAAAATTTTCATTGATTAACAGATAGAAAGTATCACTTGATAAAAAATACTTGGAAAAATATTTAAATTGAGAAAAATCTTTTTAAAAATGCATACTTTTTCAGAAAATGCACCTAATTAATTCCGTGCTCATAGTGAAAACCATCACTGCAGACACAAAATATGTTTATCAATGAAGGGCAAGTTGGACTTGAATAGCCTCTGGAAAGTAGTTTTCCCTGTTTATTTTGTCCAAATGTTAAGACTTGGAAGTGAAAGTACATTGCAAATGGCGGGTTCTACAGGGGTCTTGTCTTTTACATGTCATACTTTCAGAGACCATTCACGTCCAACTTGCTCTTCAATGATAAACATATATTATATCTGCAATTATGGTTTTCACAAAAAAGACAGAATTAAGCAGGTGCATTTCTCTTTAAATATGCACATTTTCTGGTACAATTTTTAAAAAAAAATATCTTTTTAAAAATATTTGTTGTCAAGTGATACTTTCTATCTATTAATCAATGATATATACTGACACGCAAAAGAAACGCAACAAGCAGTAATCTACAAATGCTTGATTTTTTCATCTTATGATTTTCAAAAGCGAAAAAAGTAAGGTTTAACTCACTTTTCAGAACATCAGAGATTTGATAAACATGTTAAATGTTTATCTGTTTACTTTACTAAGTAAAATATGACTGTTGAAACACCCCCTCCCAGCCATTCAAGTAAAACGTGAAAGACTGTCCTAAACAACAATTGCAACTTAATTTCTACGATACAATAGGTTCATTAATATCGAGATCTAAGCGAAGGAATTATCCTTTGCCATTTTTAAATGCCCGTTTTTCAGATGATTAGGTCGAATTTTCTCTAATTTAGAGCAGTGTAGCCACCCTTGGACTTCCGGTACAAAGACTGTACTTAATGCATATGATACGTAAGACCCTGTTGAGGCGTAATATAGTGAAATTTCGCATCAGCAACTCTCCATCACCTTTACATTGAAAATTTTCAGCTAGAACAATGGAAATGCGTACATAAAACATTTTCGAGTAGCCTTAGCATCGTTACGTGAAACGATAGGAGAGTTTATTTTTTAGAAATATTGCTGCATTACTTATGATGAACAGTAAACCCCCCCTAAAACTCCACAATATTGCCAAATGTTTTGTTAAACATGCAATTTTTGATTTCTGTTAAGCAGACTCAAACTTGACTTCCAGTTATGGTATGGAAATCGTTCAACCGTTAAATTACCGATGTTTGCTAAATTGAAGATATTAATAATTTTAAGATACAAAATTCTTTACTTTACATAATTATTTCCCCCTAAAGTAGGATGTTGCGTTTCTTTTGCGTGTCAGTATATTTATAAACTGTGAACATTTTGACTTTATACCACCCATAGTTTTGGAGCTATTGCAAAATTTTTTTTTTTTTTTGACATGTTGACCTTTGACGAAACCTTAAAAAAAAATAACAGCGTAGCGTAATTTAAATTTACATGCCAAAGAAAATCTACAATAAAATTCACTACAATGTATGTAATAAGAAGACTGGTGAAAATTTCATGAATACCAACGGCTAAAAAGATTTGTGGAGGGTGCTTCAGCGGGAATGGCACCAAATAAAAAAAACGTATTATAAAAACTGAATTAAAAATCAATCTAGTGTTATAAAAGCTGTAATATTTTATTAATCCAGTTCATAAATATATCTCTGATGTATTAGATGTGCGTTTTCTTTGATTAACATATCTTTGATAAAAGAGTGATAATTTCACTCTTATATATTGAGTACTGATTTTTACATTTTTCTTTGAAATGAAAGAAATACAAGTTAATAAAAGTTCATTTATTAATAAATCTAGTGTGCCGGATAGGCTCATTTCTGAGAAGATAAAAAAAAAATTAACTCGTTATAACGAGTTAATTATCTCGTTATAACGAGTTAGTATCTCGTTATAACGATAATCGTTATAACGAATTAGTTATCTCATTATAACGAGTTAATTATCTCGTTATAACGAGTTAATTATCTCGTAATAACGAGATACTAACTCGTTATAACGAGATAACTAAGTCGTTATAACGAGATAATTAACTCGTTATAACGACTTAGTTATCTCGTTATAACGAGTTAGTTATCTCGTTATAACGACTTAGTTATCTCGTTATAACGAGTTAATTATCTCGTTATAACGAGAAAATTAACTCGTTATAACGAGTTAAAAACTCTAAAGTTGATATATGTAAGTAATAGGAAGTATTGCATATAAAATCGAGTCGATCAAGTTTGTTTAATACGAAAGCCATGAAGGGACACGTCGATTTTTCAAAAAAGTAAAAATTAATTTGAGATCTCGAATTACACAATCCATTCCCACGAATTATCAATTCGTTCTCTCGGTTTATAATTCGAGATCTCGAATTACATAATCCGTTCCCATGGATTATCAATTCGTTATCACAGATTATCAATTCGTTCCCTCAAATAATCCAATCCGTCATCTCGGATTGTAATTCATTCTCTCAGTTTAAACAATTCCATCGGAATGTAAACCCTTCTCATGATTTCATTAATATCAGCTATCTGTACATATCGGATATGGCAATACGTGTTTAATGAATAGAATATTGTAGGTATCTAGATCCTACCTTTTTTTACATATTACGGTCCAAAATTAAAAATTAACATGAACATGACTCAAATTCATATTCTAGTACTGATATTTATATAAAAAAGTCCTTTACGTGTATATTAGAATAATTGAAAGTCCTAGATAGTCAAAGTATATATGGCTCCTATGTAATTATCTTGTATCTAAATAAATGTTGAAACAAAATACATGAATCGCATTAATTGATTCAAATAGTTGGATTTGAATGTATCCAACATTACATGTATACATATCATGTAATAAAATTCGCGAGCACTGATTGCCAAGATCATTTATAAGACTGATGTTTCAAATCGAGATCTCGAATTATTAATCCGTGGGATCGGATTGTGTAATTTGAGATCTCGAATTATAAATCGAGGGAACGAATTAGTAATCTGTGGGATCGGATTGCATGTAATTCGAGATCTCGAATTATAAACCGAGAGAACGAACTGATAATCCATGGGAACGGATTGTGTAATTCGAGATCTCGAATTAATATTTACTTTTTTGAAAAATCGACGTGTCCCTTCATGGCTTTCGTAGTTTAAAGTGTGTATGATAAATATTTCATTGAAAAAAAGCAAACTAGTTTTGTTTTTTGTTTTTTTTTCGAGGGGTTGTGTCTGTTATTGTAGTTCGTTTAATTATAAACGATGCAGTTGATTTGTATTGTTTTACTCAAAAAAACCAATGACAAATACGTGTACGTGTATATGGAACCTTATGACTGCCTCGTGTTGTTGTGTTATGAGTGGACAGTAGCCCCCGAATTTTACGCGGGCCCAAGACCTAATTGCTGATGTCTCCATACCCCCCTTCTTCAAAACATTTCTGACTCTAAAAATAATATATATCACACTGTAAGTGTATGTAAGATATGTTGCGTAACTAACGCCTGCCTTAGCTTGCCATTATAATGCATTAATTAAGAAATTAGACATTGATTATGGAAGCTATAAGGTCATCCAAAAGTTAAACATATATATATATATATAAAAAATAATTTGTTTTATCGGAGAAAGTTGTTATACTTAAATTGCAAAACTTTGAAACAAGTACATTTGGCCATATATTTTAATAGTGTGTACTTAGAGACGTTCACGTATAAATGTGTAAATGCTTTCGATTAAAAGATTGCTATTTTTTTTATCAAATTGTGATTATTGACGGCAAGATACTTGTAGTTCGAACAGGATTAATATTATTAAAACCATATTGCAAATTATATTTGCATCTCTTTATCAACTTTAAAGTTAAGTACGACTGATAATTATCAACTAAACTTCAATGGCATTAAAACTACAGCCATTTTTAATTCCTATATTGCTATTAATTTGGAAATAAAAGGGCAACTTATTATTTCGTTATAACGAGATAATTAATTCGTTATAACGAGATAACTAACTCGTTATAACGAGATAATTAATTCGTTATAACAAGATAACTAACTCGTTATAACGAGATAATTAACTCGTTCTAACGAGATAATTAACTCGTTATAACGAGATAACTAAGTCGTTATAACGAGATAACTAAGTCGTTATAACGAGATAATTAAGTCGTTATAACGAGATAACTAAGTCGTTATAACGAGATCATTAATTCGTTATAACGAGATCATTAATTCGTTATAACGAGATAACTAAGTC